AGCAGTCCTCCTGTCTCAGCCTCCTAAGTACAGAGACTACAGGTGTGTGCTGTGAAGCCCAGCGTAGAAGCAGCTGTTTGGAACGTCTGACAGTTGATTCCAAGTTTATTTTATCATCTTTAAATAACATGCTTCTATTGCTGCCTTTTGAATTTCCATTCTAGGAGTTCAGTATAATGTAAATTATGGAAAATGAGATTTAACCCACTTCACTTTCCTTCTTTTCATCTCTTGACAGCTTCTTGAGAGAGGATTGCATTTTCTTATCTGCTGAAGCAAGTGCTTTTCTGATTCTTCAGATATTGTGTGAAGCATTTTCTTCTTTGAAAGCTTTTAAAGAATCTTCCTTATCTCCAGTATTGTGAAATTTTTGATAATGCATCTTATTTATCTATTTTTTCTTTTGTCTTTTTTGAGATGGGGTCTCAAGTTCACTTTGTAGCCCAGGCTTGTCTCGAACTCACAATGATCCTTCTGCCTCAGCCTCCTGAGTACTGGGATTACAGGTGTGAGCCACCACGCCCAGCTGTTTTATATATTTATTTTCATCCAGTATGTTTGTCATGGGGCATCATGCCCTTTCATTATTAAAATTCATGCCTATTCAGTCAGAAAATTTTTTAGATTATTAAAAAACATTTTTTCCCTTCGATTTTCTATGTTTCTGTTTTTTGGATTTTTGGACGGTGTCTGCTGTGTAGTGCAGGCAGTAGGTCTTAACTCACTGCAGTGCAGGCTGGCCTCAGATGCAGCAGCAGTCTTCTTTCTTGCTTTAGCCTCCCAAGTGCTGAGATTACAATGTAGTCTGTTTCTCTTCTAATATGTCCTTTTCTGCTTACTCCAAGCTACTCCAGATGCTAAGGTAGTTGGATCATGAGTTTAAGGTCAGTTTGGGCAATTTTATGAGATACTGTGTCCAAAAAAATGAGATTAAACAGAAAAATCCAGGTCCAAACAGGTAGGAGCCAAGATTTTCTTTCCCAGCTCTCTTGTGAAAACCAAGAGTTGTTGCCCTTGTGGGGGACCCTAGATTATTTTACCTCCAATGTCCTATCAGATATGGGCTTGAGACTTTCTCCCATGGATTTAACTTAAGGTAATTGAGATAAGTTTTCATGTTTACTAAAGGTAGGGGATAATAACCAAATATGTAGTGTGGTCTATGGTCATATTCTGAAATGTACAACTTCATCTGTCTGACATGACTTCGGGATTGGTTCATTGTGGTGCATCGTGTGTTAGGGGCCTGCCTGTTCTACCTCCAGAAGTTTTGTCTGAGAGAACTGGGTTCCTCTGCTGCACAAGTTTTTGTTTTTGCCTGAGGCCTTTCTTTTTCTAGTACAAGGTGAGTACATCCTTTAGGGAGCCTACCCAGCTCTGGGGAGAAATGTGACGGTAACAAATTTCTTAACATTTATTGGGGTAAGAGTGTTTTTTAGTTAAACCTCTTTTTTCAGGCCAATTTTTAAAAAGCATCTAACATTTATTTTGAACTTGTTTTGGCAGAGAGAAAAAAGGAAATTATTATTTTGGGAGATAAAGAGATGTACATGGAAGGGCCATTAATTACTCAAAGTAGCAAGTGCTAATATTTGATGGTTGTACGTTGTTAATGAAGTTTTTGGTGGGGGAAAGTATTTTAAGACCTGAACCTGGCTTTTCAGGAAAATATGACTTTGCAGAACTGGAGAGTAAATGAAGAAGACACGCTCTAAAAAATAATTAATGTCTAAATTATAGTAAAAAAAATAATTCTGTTCTTGATTTTGAGTTATAGTAGAATTAGGATCAGTTACAAATATTTAGTACAATGCAATGAATGCATTTTCTTTACTTTTTGAAGTCACTTGATATTTGGAAAAGTTAAACTTTGTTTTTGTCTTTTTTGAGACATTAGAGTTTCACTATGTAATTCAGGCTGGTTTTGGACTCACTTTGTAGCCCAGGCTGCCTCAGCCTCCTGAGTGTTGGGATTACAGATGTGAGTCACCACACTTGGCCTTGAACTGTATTTTTGGCTCTAAGGTTTCCTACTGTGCTTCCTTGTTTTTGTCTGTAAATGTGAAATATAATTAGGTTGTTGATTGTGAACTGAGGGCAGACTTGAGGTATGTGTGTGCTTGAAAACAAATCAGCCAGTCTTGAAGTTGGATTTTAAAAAATCCTTTGTCAGAGTTTATCATCAAAATAAAAAAAAAAATTTTTTTTCAAGGACAGGGTCTCTCTGCATAGCACAGGCTGGCCTCAAACTCCAGAGTGCTGGGACTAAAGGTGTGTGCCACCACACCCAGCTGGCTGTGTATGTGTTACATTTAGTGCTTTTAGAAATAGTTGAAAATTTTATCCTTTAAACCTTCCTTTGTGTTTATATTGTTCTTAGTATTTGGTTATTACAAATATATATATATATACACATATATATATGTATATATATGTGTATATGTATTTCTTGCTCTGTAATCAAATTTAAAAACCTTCAGCCTTTCAAGTGCTGGGATCCTGGTATCTCAGGGGTGCACTACCACTTTTCTTCTCTGGTAACCATGAGTCCAGTTCTTTATTAAGTAGTAGACAGATTGCCATATGACTGGAGAAGCACTTGTTTTCCCACATTAGTCAAAATGATTAATACTTGGATGTATGACAAACAAAAGGCACTTTTGAAACATGTAGTAATAAGATTGTAGGAGGTTTACTTTAAGGTTGGTGTTTATATCATGGCTGCCATTATTTGCTAAGTTGTACCTCAGTAGGAGCCTATTTTTTTGTGTGTAAAAAGTGAAGATATGCTAGACACATACATATTCCCAGGAGCCAGAGGCTTCATTCATTCAAAACAATCTCTTAAGGAAGGAACAACATCTAGTCATTTAAGGTGAAAATCATTCACTGCCTCATTCATAGGCAGATTACTGCAACAAAGAAATTGAAGCCGGCCTGTAATCCTAGCTTTCCAGAGGCTGGGACAGGAGGATCTCTGGATCTGAAGACTGGCTTGGTCTACATAGCTAGCTTGAACTACTACATAGCAAGATCCTGTCTCAAAGATATAAAAGTTGTCAGTGTGCTTAATTTCACAAAAACAAGAAAAGACAGTGAGTTACTTGTAGCGCTTATAAATAAGATCAATGTGACCAAGAAAGTACATTTTACCACACACAGGTTTGCTCACTATCTTACAGTAAAATTCTTTGTTTTGAAGAGTTGTGGAACTTAAACTTGATTCTTCAGGAGTATGCAGGTACTTTTGTTTAACAGAAAACAGACCACACAATATATTTTCTATACCTTTACATTTAATGATAACAGTTACTTGCTTTTAAAAATTGTTTAAAAGAAAATGGTGTTAGAAAACATTTGGGAAATACGTGGTTGTAAATGGCCTAATTTTGGTGATTTTCGTTGATAGGGGAAATCATCTGTTAAATTTTTGTTATTGTAAGTATGTGACAGTTTCAGTGTATAAGAAAGTTCAAACGTGGAACGAAATTGTTCAAAAAAACATTGTTTACAGTAAAAGAAGAAAACAGGAAACAACTCAAATGTTAACTGATAGTGGGGTGGGTGAATGCACGGTGGTACAGACACAGAACAGTACAGTGAGTGAACTTCTGCTCTGTCAGTACAGACAAAACTCAAAAGTGTAATCCTGAGCAACAAAAGAAAGTATGAGAGTGACACATACTACTTTACATCATTATCAAATGTTCATCATATAAAACTAAACTACATATAAGTATGGCTAGTTGGTTGTAAAATTCAAGAGAGAGGAGACCAATAGGGTATATAAGTTTTAGCCACTAGCAAGGTTTTTTGAAGGTACATTCAAGATCTGTTTTAAACAATCTTTGGGTATAGGGTAGGTAGGACTTTGGAATCTGCATCATGAGCAATTAACAGTCATTTTATGTCATTACAGTGTTTCAAGTACTGCTCCAAGTACTTTACATGAACTCAATTCGTCATGGTAATCTTGTGACTTGTAGGTAAAGTGATTAAGAGATTTGCACCATGTTACAGCTAGAGAGTATAAGTAAGGTCGGGAATGTTTCTTATACTTGGTTTTGAAAAGCTACTACTCTAGTCCAAGTCACTGAAATTTGGAAACACTTTATATTCTTTAATAGTAGAGCTGGGTGAAGGTGGTGGAGGAGGTAATCCATACAATTCTAAGGATTTTAAATCTTTAGCCACTAACTCCAGGTAGCTACTTCATGGATTATAAAACTCAGCAATATAAAGTATGTTTTTTTAGCACTAAATCCAAGTGATGTTTCTTCTTAACAGAATCCAAGTGTTGTGAGCATAGTTTTCAAATTGGTGTACAGTGTGAAACCTTGATAAAACCAAATGTGCAAGGCCAGGCAGGTGGCATGCACTTGTAGTCCCAGATACTTTGGAGATTGATTCAGGAGGATCACTTGAACCCACGAATTCAAGGCCAGCCTGGGCATCATAGTGAGATCTTTTCTGTTTTAAAAACAAACATTTAATGTTTTTGTTTTAGTAGAATTTTAGAGTTATATTTAGGATCAGTAGGGAAGAACGTCTTAATTTCAATGCTGCTTTTAGAGATCTTTCTGAAATATATTAGCAGCTTTGCTAACTTAGTTTGTCGAACAAGATGCCTCATCATTCTGAATATTCCAAAGTCCAGTCTTGTACAATGTAGAATTGTAAATTAAACTTTTAAACATTGTTAAGCAAATTTCTTGTTTTTTCCTTTCTCTTACAACAGTAGTTCCCAATGTAGCTGCATATTCAAGTCACCTGAGTGACTTGTAGGAAACACTGGTATCTGATAACTTTAGAATTAGTGATTCCGTTGGTCTCATTCTAACATGGTAGGGTTGAGAAACTACTATTATAGAAGAAGCAGGTGGTGCAGGTAGGGGGAGCATATAGTAAGTTAGGGTATTACTGAAAAGCAAACTTGAGATAGGAGTTGGTTGGTTGGCTGAATCTAAACGTTTAACACTTGTAACTTTTTTTTCTTTCAGATTCATTAATAAACATGGGTGCATTTTTGGATAAACCCAAAACTGAAAAACATAATGCTCATGGTGCTGGGAATGGTTTACGATATGGTCTGAGCAGCATGCAAGGATGGAGAGTGGAAATGGAAGATGCACACACAGCTGTTGTAGGTATTCCTCACGGCTTGGAAGACTGGTCATTTTTTGCAGTTTATGATGGTCATGCTGGATCCCGAGTGGCAAATTACTGCTCGACACACTTGTTGGAACACATCACTACTAATGAAGACTTTAGGGCAGCTGGCAAATCAGGATCTGCTCTCGAGCCTTCAGTGGAAAATGTCAAGAATGGAATCAGAACTGGCTTTTTGAAAATTGATGAATATATGCGTAACTTTTCAGACCTCAGAAATGGAATGGACAGGAGTGGATCAACTGCTGTAGGAGTTATGATTTCACCTACGCATATCTACTTTATCAACTGTGGTGACTCACGGGCTGTTCTGTATAGGAATGGACAAGTCTGCTTTTCTACCCAGGATCACAAACCTTGCAATCCACGGGAAAAGGAGCGAATCCAAAATGCAGGAGGCAGCGTCATGATACAGCGAGTTAATGGTTCATTAGCAGTATCTCGTGCTCTGGGGGACTATGATTACAAGTGTGTTGATGGCAAGGGCCCAACAGAACAACTTGTGTCTCCAGAGCCTGAGGTGTATGAAATCTTAAGAGCTGAAGAGGATGAATTTATCATCTTGGCTTGTGATGGGATCTGGGATGTTATGAGTAATGAGGAGCTCTGTGAATTTGTTAAATCTAGGCTTGAGGTATCTGATGACCTGGAAAATGTGTGCAATTGGGTAGTGGACACTTGTTTACATAAGGTATGTAAGTTTTTTAAAAAAAATAATTAAAATACAGTTTTATTTTTGAAAAGACACAGTAAGTAAAATTTAAGCCAACTTATATTTTTAAAACTTGTGGGCCAGGGATATAGCTCAGTTGTGAGTTCAATCCCTGGTACCAAAATAAACCCAAAAAACAAACAACACCTTCATTGTTTCATTAGACACATGTTTGAAAATACTTCATCAGAAATGAATCCATTATTTGTCATGCCATACATTCAGCCTTGTAACTTGGAAATTAAGTGTAATAGAGTTGGTGTATTTGTTAGTGCAATTGTTATTTAAGAACTTGGGCTTGTGGCAGTGGCAAAGATGTTTGTACAGAATGTGACTTTTGATTCTTACTTTTTTTTGGGTGGGGGGTACCCAGAATTGAATTTAGGACCTTGTACTTGCCAGGCATGTTCTGTCCACTGAGCTCTAATCTGGGCCCTGTTGATTCACACTTTTTAACGTTGGTTGCAGTGTGGCCATCTTACATGTTATTTTGAGACCACCTGATAAAATATGTGATAAAATATGTATGTAGTAAAATTCTGCACTAGCTATTCTCAAAGGTCAAGAGCCACATGAAATATCAAATGATATACCAGAAGCCACACGTAAGTAAAATTTGTTTCCAATCTTCCTAGCAGCTAAGACTGGATGAAACAAGTTGTCTGTTTTTCATTGTCTAGTAAAAGTAGTCTTTTCAATCAATGAACTCTAAAAGAAACTTACATGTAATTCTATATAAGTAGTATCTGATTTAGTCAGGTACACACCTGTAATCCCAGCACTTGGGAAGCTGAGCAGGGAGGATTCTTGTGAGTTTGAGGCCACCCTGGACCACATAGCTAGACCCGTCTCGAATAAACAAAAAATAATAATGTCTGACTTTGAGGGATGGTATCTTTTGTAATGTTTTTTATTATCATGGATTAAAAACTGAAGGCTTATCTAAAATGAATGTGGAGAATACTAATTTGGGAATATTTACTTAGATTTATAATTTTCTGGCAATCTTGATATGGTAATACATTTTTAAAAACCAGAGTATCATAATTAGGAGTTGCTTTAAATGTGTTTAAAATACTCAAGCTTTTCAGGCAGGTATAGGTGTGTGTGTGTGTGTGTGTGTGTGTGTGTGTGTGTGTTGCACACACCAGGGATTGAACTCATGACCTTGAGTTTGCCAAACAGGCACTTATGCCACTGAGCTAAACCCCTGGCCCTTTCAGGCAGATTTTTTTTTATTATTTTATTATTATTTTTTATTTAAAGGAAAAAAAAAAAAAAAACCCAAAACAGTATAAGGGTACAAGTAATACAGAATTAAAAAAAAAAAAAAAAGAAATCACTAGTTAATAGATTACATATTATCATCTTAGAAATAGTTGTTCAAGTTAGAGGATTAAAGCATACATAACATTCAAACAGTGATACTGCAAACAGTTGTGTTCAATGATCCAACAAAAACTTAGCAATATGGTCATCTATCTTAACACACCTAGACACACTTGCAGTTGTATCCTTTAGAGCACTTTTTCACAACAACACTTACACATTTTGGGTTTTATTACTCCCATAGTTCTTATTACTTTTTTTTTTTTTTTTTTTTTGGAAGAGAATAAAACCAAGTATGACAAAACAAAGCAGTCAGTCAAAACAAAGGACATAGCATGTGATGTAAAAACAGAATACAAGGTAATGAACAGTGGTTACCATAATGCCTCTTGCTACCTTAAAAAGAATTGCCTATATCATAAGGTATAATAAAATTGAACAAAACAGTACAGAACAAGACCAATAAAACCTAAACATTGGAGACATTACAGGACTTCAAAAGAAGATAATAGTCAAACCAGAATGGGTGTCATAGTGAATCTTACTGCCTTCAAAGTAGTTGCCTATACCCTGAAACTTGATACTATCAAACAGAACAGAACAGTAAAATCAGGTGGGAGCAATGCAGGGCTTCAAGTCAAGTTAATAGGAAATCAAAAAAGTTACTATAATATATCCTGCTACATTTTTTGATTCCCCCCCTTCATTAAAAATAAATAAATAAATAAATAAATAAATAAATAAATAAAAATTTTTTTTTTTTAAAAAGGGGAGATTGAGATAAAAGAGGACATAACAATACAGGTCAAAGCATAACAATTTCAGCAACCTAATGCTTCACCACAAGATAACCTGACTTAATAGTAGTTACCATAGTGTCTCCTTCCTTGAAATATTTGAGTATAACTTCGTATACTATGGCTTCAAACGTATCAAGGCAGTGTGAAACCATTAAAGAGGATGAAAGTATTACAGGGTATTAAGAACCAGCTAACGGAAAATGAACAATGGTTTCTATATTATCCTTTGCCTATAAAAATTTTTGTTTATACTATCACATATAATAAAATCCAGTAAGATGCAACATGATAAAACCAATGGAGATCGAAGAACAACAATTTGGTAGGACTTCAAAACAAGATGATATTAAATAAGCACTAGCTATTATGATGTGTCGTTTTCTTCAAAATAGGTGTTCATATCATCACAGGCAATAATATCATCAGGCAGATTTTTGACAACATTTTTGTAGAAATCAATTAAAATTTGAGTTATCCGGCAGGTGCAAGTGTTCTATAACCAACTGAAAAGAGGTCAAGGCAAAATAGCTTGCAGAAAAGGCTTTTGACTTATTTATTCTGTCTAGATTGAAACCTTTGTATGTCTTCATTACAAAAGTTTTTGTAGAAAGAGCAGGTATAGCTAGAAAACGTCTCAAGAAGTATCCTGGGTGTGTGGAAATACCCAGGTTATGGCGAAATACCTAGTTTTCTATAAAACAGAAAGTGAAATTTCGAAATGAGAATTTAAGGTTTGGTATTACCACCACTTTAACAACATTATATCTGAGTTTTATTTTTAGCATACTGTGTCATTTTTACTTCTCTGGGTGAGTTCAGTATAGATGAATTGACAGTTGCCAATGATCAAATAGTAAGTGGCTCTCAAAATGTCTTTCTCCTTGCACTGTAAATTGAGTGAATTTGATCTGCACTTTTTTGAGATGAAAGGGACATAAGTTTTTTGCCTGCCAAGTAAATAAAAACAGAATTTCCACCAATTATGAATGAATGAATGAAGAAAAGTCCAGATAATACAGAAAACTCACAACCTCACAATTTTGCTACCTATTTGTCATCTATTTTGGTTGTTGTATATACCTTTGCAGATTTTTTGTTTTTTTGCCTTCCTGTGTGTTTTTATAAAAATAAGACTTACATTTACTGTTTTATGCCATTGAACTAAATCCCTGGCTCCTCTATAGACTCTTTTATCCAACAACATATTGCAGAGATCTCCAGATCAGGAAGTATTGTGCTGCAAGTGTTTTTCAGGACTGCGTAGCATTCTGTTTAATGAATAACATGGTTGTGAAGGAATAGCCAGAGAGCTAGTGGATCTAAAATTTGAACTAAGATATTTAGTTCAAATATCTTTGTCATACTCTACTATCTATAGAAGGAATGCTAGTTTTCTCTGCCCTTCTACCTGAGATTTAAATAATACTGGTGGTATGCCTTCAGTTGATAGCTCTTGTCATTTTTAAGTAATTCAGTATTCATGTCGATGATGAAAAGATAGTAGACAGTACTGAATCTCAGGAATATGGAAAGAAAAGTAATAGAGTCAGAGTTTATTTAGACTCCTGGGCCCCTCAGTTCTAGCCATAGCTGGCCATCATAGTTCCTTTGTATCAAGTTGGTGTCAGTTTTGATAAACTAGCTGGTTTGGTTTGAAACATAATATGGTTAACAAAGTTTTTTTTTTGTCTTTTTGAGACAGGGTCTTGCTGTGCAGTTCAGGCTGGCCTTGAGCTCACTTTGTAGCCCAGGCTGGTCTGGAACTCACAATGATCTTCCTGCCTCAGCCTCCTGAGTGCTGAGATGACAGGCATGAGCCACCATGTCCAGCCTATCATTCCAGTTTTTTTTAATTGTAAGTTAATTAACTATTAGACTAAAAACACTTGAAATTTAGGGTGGAAGATTAAATATTTAAAATTAATAGTCTGTGAAAAATATTTAGTTGCTCAGTAGGTACTGATCTTCTATAGCAGGAATGAGAGACAAGACCCAATTAAGTAGATGGTTCTCTAAGAGTGGCAGATGAAGTCAATATTTTCTAACACTTCTGACACCTGTTATGGCTTAATAATAGCACTTTTGAATGTTAACTATGACATCTTGGAAGTTGGTAGTAATAACCATAGTGATACCAGCAAGTTTGTTTTCTGTGAGCTATATGCTAGTCTAAGCAATGTATACATGTTTTAACTCACTTAATTTTCACAGCCACTATATGAGGTAGTTAGTAGTAGTTACTTAATGATAATTTTTTAAGATGGCTGATAAGTGTTGGGTAACTCTAGTCAGGTTATGTGCCATTTAAATTAAATATTTAACCCTAGAGATGAGTCCCTGTAAAGCAGCCTTCCCACTGTGTAACAGTACTGGCATTCATGGTGTTCACTGCCAGCTAATTTCAGTTTGCATAAAATATGTAAATAATACGTGTTTTATAACTTACAGAAAAAACATTTTACTAATTTTTAAGGTAATCTGAGGTAAAAAATAAATTTTTGTAATTTGTAAGTAAGGAAGTTGTGGTTGTTTAACATAAAGTCGTAAGGCATGCACTTGATGAATGTTGAAGCTGAAACTAGAATCCAAGTTTTCTGAATCAAATTTAGTATTAACAATGTTTCCCAGGCAAGCACGTGAGTTTGATTGCTGGTACTAAAAACAAAATAGTGTTTCTCAAATTGGTCTGATAAAGAGGGGTGTGTGTGTGTGTGTGTGTGTGCTTTTTGTTTTTCAGCTGAGATAGCTATTTGGGAGACTAACACAGGAGAGTTGCAAGTTCAAGGCCAGCCTGGGCACTCTTTAAGAAAACCTGTCTCAGTTATACAAACATTAATATATATTTCTGTAATAAATGCCTGGGGTAAAGTTACTATTCATCTTTATGTTCCTCCATATCTTCCTTTCCAGTGTTATTTCCCTTTGGTAACCACTGTTGAGAGTTCGCTGTGTATTTTCCAAATGGTTCTGTGGTTATTGGTGAAAAATATATAAGCATAAAAGGAGAATTTTCTCTGTTTTGCCATTTTACAGAGATGGCTTAGTTATGGATGTTACGTTGCAGCTTGTGTTTTTTTTCCCTTCATAACCCAAGGAAGTATTTATATTTTTTTTTTTTTTTTTTTTTTTGGTCTTTTTCGTTTTTATCGGTACCGGGGATCGAACTCACGACTGGCTGCTTGCAAGGCAGGCGCTTATGCCGCTGAGCTAAATCCCCAGCCCCAGGAAGTATTTATATTGTCTTTTTTTTTTTTTTTTTTTTTTTGTCTTTTTCCTTTTTATTGGTACGGGGGAATCAAACTCATGACTGCCTGCTTTCAAGGCAGGCACTTATGCCGCTGAGCTAAATCCCCAGCTTTATATTATCTTTTAAAAAGGATATTTGCTTTCCCTAAATTCAAATTATATACCGCATAACAGAAATTTATTTATTAAAACATGAAATAGGACCTGATCATTAGATAAAAGCGAGGGACATAATTTTCTGAAGGCAGCATGATTCTAGATTATTCATAACGATATTTAAAATATGAATTCTGGAAAATAATTCAGTTTATTTTCTTTTTCTTTCTTTCTTTCTTTTTTTTTTTTTTTTTTTTTTTTTTTTTTTGAGATAGGGTCTTGCTCTGTAGTTCAGGCTGGCCTTAAATTTACTGTGTATCCCAGGCTCACCTCAAATTCATGGTGATTTTCTGCCTCAGCCTCCCAAGTGCTAGGATTACACAGGGGTGTGTCACCATACCCACCAATATAGTTCTCAATTCTGTACTTTTTCTGTTGATGTTACTGAAAATACAGTCATAAATAACATAAAAATAGGTAATATTAGAGCGAAATCTGGTTGGGTATTTTGAAAGGAAGAGGAGGTGAAGACTGTGAGAAAATAGTGTATATGAAGGCAGTATACTTCAATTGTAGAGATTTTTCGTGCCTTATTTCCCTAATGTCTGAGTAATTTTTTTCACAGCACTATTTAATCCAAATCAATACCTAACAGCAGGAATTTAAGTGGTTAGTTCCAAACTTACACATTTCATATGTCCTAGGCCAAAAAAACAAACAAAAAAACCCCCAAATTATGTTGACGGTAGTGGGTATCAAACCCACGGCCTTCACACTGAACTATTTCCTCCACCATTTTTGTTGTTTGTTGGTTTTTGAGCCAGTGTCCTAAGTTGCCCAGCCTGGGTTTGATTTTGGAATCTTGTTTTAGCCTTCCAAAGTCCTGAGATTATAGGCCTGTACCACCGTGTTTGGCTAATACAGTGCCTTTTTTTTTTTTTTTTTTTTTTGTGGGGTGGGCTGGGTCATTTGAGTTGGGTTGGGTTAGGTTTGAGACACCATGCTACTATTAGGGTGGCCTCACAGCAGTCCTTCCTTAGCCTCCCAAGTGCAGTATTTAAAATTCTTTTAAATTTTATTCTTTGAAAAAATAATTACTAATGATATATGTATTCCCACTGGACACTGAACACCTTCTCAACCTTTAGAATCACTGAACATTGCCCCTTTTGTTTCTTGTATTTCATTGATTTTTTTTTTTTTGTCTTTTTCTTTTTTATCGGTATCAGGGATCGAACTCACAACTGCCTGCTTGCAAGGCAGGCGCTTATGCTGCTGAGCTAAATCCCCAGCCCCATTTCATTGATTTTTATGAAGACTTGCTTTTTATCACAGCATCCCGTGAAACTGGGATTTTGAGAAGAATATAACATTTGTTGTTGTTGTTGTTATTTTGGTACTGAGAATTGAACTCACAACCTTACACTTGCCAGGCAGGTGCTGTGCCGCTGAGCTGTATTCCTGGCCCAAATATATAGCATTATTTGCATCTTAAAATTCTGAACTTCAAGATATAATATATAGGATGTCCACATGTTAAGTATCTCACTGTAGTCATAGGTTTCATCTTTTCATGAGCAGATGAAAATTTGGTTTGTTCTTTCATTCAGCTTGCCTGGCATTTGAACTAAAATCACTACAGTGAGTGCCAGGTTTAAAAATAGATTTTAAAAATGAATAATGTCAGTTTACTTCTCAGATACTTATTTATTAACTTTGGGAGTGATAGAGAATTCTGTTCGCAATCTATTTCATATGCTGTGTTTAGGACTTGTTCCTGAACATTTCTTTGTAATTATGTACCATTCACTTTAAAAATAATAGTATCAGATTATTTTCTGGTTAAATTTAGATATTCTTATCTCTGCTAAGAGCACTGTCTTGCATGATTTACTGTTTCTTATTAATAGTGCTTAAAAAAATTTTTTTTAGTGTTTACTGCTGTGTTTTTGAAAAAGTAAAATGGTAACTGAAATATTCAGGTTTTATAATTAGCTTATTCCTTTAGCTGTACAGTTGTGCAAGCTGGGGATTATTTTTCTTTTTATTTTCTTTTCCTTGTTTTTTTTTCTTTCCTTTTTCCTTGTTTGCTGTTCTAGAGATCAAACGCAAACCCATGGAGGACCTTGTGCATGCCAAGTAGGTGTTCTGCCAGTGCCACCCCTCCCAGTCCACAGCTTGGAATTCCTTTTTTTTTAATGAGCATATTTCATTTTTGAACTTAATGAAAAACTTACACTGATTATTCAAGGGGATTTATGTCTCGAATCTGAAGAGGCATGAAAAGAAGGACCTGTTTGTATGTTTATTGAATGCTATTTATATAACAACTATTGAAACTTGGACTTTGGATTTAGTGGAAAGGCATCTTTACACAGAAATAGCATTGTTGAGGGGCTGGGGGTTTAGCTCAGTGGCATAAGCACCTGCCTTGCAAGCAGGTGGTCGTGAGTTCGATCCCTGGTACCGTAAAAAAAAAAAAAAAAAAAAAAAAAAAAAAAAAAAAAAAGAAATAGCATTGTTGAAATTGCATTTATCTGAAGTGTATAATATACATTACTTCCTTTATTGTGTTTGGAGGGCATAAACCTTTTGAAATAGTCTTTCAGTTGATTTTCCAAAAGATAGGGTTTATGATTTATAAAAACAAAACAATTTAGATGTGTAGCCTCTTGCATAGGAATTGTTATACAGTGGTCTTACTAAAATAGTGTATAAAATAGTGTATAAAGTGTTATACAGTGGTCTTACTAAAATAGGAAATGGTTAAAAGAAATTAGACTTATAAAAATGTTACATGCTCTCTCTATTCAAGTGATTCCTTTTTTTTAAAAAAATCCATTAATATTATAATGATATTTATATTGATGCTGTTTGAAATTTTTAGACTTTAAAATATTTTGCTTGATCTGAACTTATATATGTGTATTATTACAACAAAAAACGATGTTTCTAATGTTGTCATGAAAGTTTTGGTTGGTTTCATTAAGAAGTGAAATTACTTTGATCAGTATTAAAATCTAGATTTTCTAGGTATTGATAGACTGGTTGTATATAACCTTGATGGCGCTTCGAGCCAAAGCTAAAGAATCTGTAGGGAGAGAGTGATGTCTTCTGAAGAGCTGACATTCACTGGTTTCAAAATTTCCTCCCGTTAAGGTAGAAGGTGGAGGCAGAAGTTGAAGGCCTGCCAGTCTTTTCTGGCTATGCTCTGTGGACTTTGTAAGTGGCAGGTCTGAGCCAAGCGACGCCAACTAGATTCTGACCATAACAAGTGCAAAGTCTGGAGAGCCATGGCCCTGACTTTCCACTTAGGTTGGCAAACCCCAGTGTCAGAAAAATAGCTTACCACCTCCGTTGGTTGAGCTTTTCAGGGTTATGAGTGCCAAAAGTAGAAAAAAAGTCATTATTTAAACAGCAGCTTTGTGTGTTCTAAGAAATTTTACATTTGTTACTCATAATCATAGTAGTATCCTCTTTTTAAGATAATTTGTCTGTAAGGGTATGGTTAAAGACTACAGTAAAATTTATCCTTAAACTGTTTTTACTTGTTCTCTAAAGATCCTGAAATTATTTGTGATACTGTACAATATGGTAGGTTTTCTTAAAGTTGCCTATATGCTGGGTTTGGTGGTCCCTGCCTGTAAGCCCAGTTACCTGAATGCTGAGGCAAGGGGATTCCAAGTTTGGGTCCAGCACAGGCACCTTAATGAGACTGTGTTTCAGAATTAAAATGAAAAAGGACTGGGAATGTAGCTCAGCAGCAGCACCTGTGGGGTGGGTTAATCTCCTAAACCAAAACCAAACAAACAGTTTGCCTATATAGATGTATCTCAGCTATCCCACTCACATACCTCTGTTCAATGCTGTACCTTCAGAATAGTCTGACTTAACTGATTTCTTCTTTTGGTTGCAGTTGTTCATTGTAGCTTCTCAAGTGTCTGCTGAGCAATAATTTTCAGCTACATTAAGTTCAGTAGAGTTGTGGTACCATTGTTCTGAGGCAGATTAATTAGCAGGAAAATTCTATGGTGCTGAATAAGTTGCATTTTGGGCATAAACTTCTCTTGGGAAAATGTAATACTGAGTAAGAAACAGTTTCAAAGATTGAAGATATCTTTACTTTTTAGGCTGTGAAATGGTGATGGGTAAGAATAGTTACATACAATTAAAATTCAGAAACAACTACAGATCTGCCCATATATAGGCGCAGTATTTGTTGAGGTTGAATTTTAGATGGTTCTTTGAAATAAAAATGAGTATGTTGGAAAGTATAAATTCTGGACGGTTAAATAAACTATACTTGCTTAAAGTTATTAACTGTTTAAAAGTTAAATAGAAAGTTGGTGGACTATAGAAATGTATTTTTTCTTTTTCTTTCTTTAATATACAGGGAAGCCGGGATAACATGAGTATTGTATTAGTTTGCTTTTCAAATGCCCCCAAGGTCTCAGAAGAAGCAGTGAAAAAAGATTCAGAGTTGGATAAGCACTTGGAATCACGGATTGAAGGTAAGAAGATATTTTTTTTTTTTTAATTTAGGAGGAAAGGAAAGGAAAGGAAAAGTGTTCCTTATTATTTATCAGATGATTCTTTTAAAATTGTCTTAGGAAAACTTACTTCAAAAGAAAGCCTTAAAAACAAACATCTGTCTGCCTAGATTGACTATCTTGAAATACTATATATAGGTTTGAGGATAGGGGATTTTTCTAGCTTTATAACTATCTGGCTGTGGATCCAAAACAGTGTGAACCTTGCGAATAGGTCTCTGTGAATCCTGTTTTTTTATAGGATGATGAGAAGACAGAAACATGACAGCATCCTTTGTTAGAGGCACTCATTCCTTTTGATAAAACAGGAGGAATTGCGTATCAGTGTTGTTACTAATTTACATTTCCTGATAAACTCCAGGATGTTAGGGTGGGAGGTTCTAGCTCTAGTTTACACTAGGGAGGAGGAATATTTTCAGTGTTCCTTATACATAAAGAAGCTGAGAGTGTTTATTTTGCAGAGAGCGGTGCCACTTTGGCAGCACTTTTTGTGAAGAGCTCATCAGTTGGTTAGCTATTTGTTTTTCAGTCTTATTTGACTTCTTTAATGTGTCATGGACACTAAAGATAAACACTGTAGAGAGTTGTTTTAATATTATTAAAGAAAAGAGCTTTTTCTGGATATTTGGTAAGATGGTGAGACAGGCTTTATTCAAGGAGACCATACTGAAAAATAATAACCACTGCATGGGAATCTTGCAGTGACAGAGAAAGAGTGAACTCTGCTAAGCTGAGGACATGGTGGGGATTTTGTAATCAAGGAGTGAGGTGGTAGTCAGTAGATGGAAAATTTTCTAGGGAGAAACATGAAGGATAAGGAGTTTGTGGGTACCCTGATTTGTGGTAAACTGATTTGATAGGATGATTGCTGAAAGTGGACCAGAAAGATAAAATAGAGTGCTCAGATACCAAAGGAGAACGATTTTCCCAAACTGTCTTCTTCAAGGAGAGAGAAGGAAGCCCAGCGTTGGCCTCATCAGGACTCAAGAACCTAAAGTTTTGATTAAAGGAGAGAATTTTATCAAAGTAAATAGGATATTTAAGTACCAGCACACATATTCCCAGCAAACTGTAGCCTATATTGAGTCCTAACTTTGTAACACCTAAATTTTAATTTCTCAAAGCTCCACTTAATTCAGTTCACATGAATTATCATTTAATGTTTTTCTTATGTAATTTTGCAAAGTATGTATTATATGGCAAAAATGAGATAGGTACCATGATGTTTGGGGCCTGTGCCAAATACATTATTATATTTTTTGTTTGTCTACTTTTTGTTGTTGTTTTGGGAAACAGGGTTTTGCTGTGCAGTCTAGACTGGCCTTGAACTTATTATGTAACCCACACTGGCCTTGAACTTGGGGCAGTCCTCCTGCTTCAGCCTTCCAAGAGCTAGGATTACAGATGTGTGCCACCACACCTGGCCCCAAAAACTTGATTGTAGTCACCCAATCAGAACATTTAAAAATGCTTGGCAAGACACCCATTGCAAATCAATTCAAGTTGGTACTTAAGAGTGACATGGTTTTTGTGAAAGACGTTATTCTTTAAGAGTAGTTTGTACTAGAATTTTGAATCATTAAATTTTTAAGCTAAAAGCTTCTGGTATGGGGGCTGGGGATTTAGCTCAGCGCATAAGCGCCTGCCTTGCAAGCAGGCAGTCGTGAGTTTGATCCCCGGTACCGATAAAAAGGAAAAAGACAAAAAAGAAAAGAAAAAAAAAAAAAAAAAAAAAAAAAACTTCTGGTATATCAGGCAAGACTGTTATATGTATTTTGCTATTCTGGGGAATCAAACCCAGGGTCTCACCCATTCTTTACAAATGCTTTACCTTTGAATTATATCCCCAGCCCTTTGCTTTTGGTAGGTGCAGATGGCTGAGAGAAAATAGTGTTAAACAGGAAATAGTATTTAACCTAAGACAATTAGATGTGTAGTGAATGCTTTCTACTTATATTTATTCATTCAAACTTCATTGAGCACATATATCATCATGGTTATACCAAAAACCAAGACAAGCCTCCTGCAGTTTATATTTTATCAGGAACCATACTTCAGATTTTTATAAAAGGAAAACCCAAGTAAACAGAATTACAAGGTTGGTTACAAAGTCTCCGTTAGCAGTGGAAACTGAAGGGTGAACAGGATTTAGCCATCCAAAGAGTTCATTGACTTGCATGAAAAGAGCTCCAAGCCAAAGAAAGAGAAGTATGGTTTGATGAGAGCTTTTGGAGATGAAGCAGTCACAGCAGAGGTGAAAGGTAGCAGTGAAATGAAAGGTTTGGGATTTACATTTAGAGGGCTGCTTAGGATACTGTTTTTTTGTTGTCCGAAAAAAGTTGCCATTGGAGCCAGGGCTGGTGGCGCAGGCCTGTAATCCCAGCACTTGGGAGCCTGAAGCTGGAGGATCATTGCAAGTTCAAGACCATCCTGGGCTACAAAGTAAGCTCAAGACCAGCCTGAACTGCATAGTGAAACCCTGTCTCAAAAAGACCAAAAAAAAAAAAAAAAAAAAAAAAAAAAAGTATCCATTATTTGACTTTTGAGGAGTTTGTTTTTTCATTGTCCAAGTAGTCACTCTTTAAAAAATTTGTTTTCCCATTTCTACACATTAACAGGTACTGAGATTTATTTTATTTTATTTATGTTATGTTATGTTATGTTAATGTTACTTTATTTTTTTTATTTTGGTACAAGGATCAAACTCATAACCTCGTGTTGCCAGGCAGTCACTTACGCCACTGAGCTAAATCCTCAGCCCCTGGGATTTATTCTTATCGATTTTAAACCATTTCACTTGGTGACTATATTAACTGTTCCCTTATGCTGAGACATTTAATTCTAGTTTTTACTTTTATGAGTAATAATATTCCAATGAATATATGTATGCTTTTGGTTCTCTGTTACTGTTAGCAATTGTTTTGTATTTTAAAATAAGTACACCCACACAGTACCTATTTTCACTTCTTTGAGACTACTGAGTTATTTGTCAGTATTAATTAAGGAACTTTTTTTTTTTTTTTTTAAACTACAGAAATTATGGAGAAGTCTGGTGAGGAAGGAATGCCTGATCTTGCCCATGTCATGCGTATTTTGTCTGCAGAAAATATCCCAAATTTACCTCCTGGGGGAGGTCTTGCTGGCAAGTAAGTAGAACAAAAGGTTTGAACATACGGTTTGAAAAATCAAACTTAGGGTGCCCTGCCACTGAGTACTAGTAAACAATTAATTTGGGGCAAAAGTATAAATCAGCAGTATATGTCATCTAGAGATTAAATGAGTTAATGTTTCTTGTTTTAAAGATCTTTAAACTTAAGGGGCTGGGGATTTAGCTCAGTGGCATAAGCATCTGCCTTGCAAGCAGGCAGTAGTGAGTTCGATCCCCTGTACCAATTTAAAAAAAAAAAAAAAAAACTTAAAAAAGATTTCTAAACAATTATCATACTTTGAGGATGAAGATTCTTTTCTTGCTAAATGAGAACAAATAGATTATGCAAGATCAAATTCTGAGTGAAACATAGAAACTATTCTTTGGAATATTTAGTTTGACAGTTTTGTATAGTTCAAAATGAAGTATTATTTGAATAACAAGCTTAAAATTGTAGTGCAATAAACTAAAGCTCTATTTTTTTCATTAGGCGCAATGTTATTGAAGCTGTTTATAGTAGACTGAATCCACATAGAGAAAGTGATGGGGTAAGTTTTATTTTATTTCCTAAGCATTTGAAGTAATTTTACAATATAAATACTGTATGAACCCATTCACATAGTAAGGTTGATAATAAATTATTATTGTTTTGCATTTTACAGAATCAATTAAAAGTTTTGGAAAATATATTAAAATAGAAGTAGAGACACAATTTTGTATTTTGTACATTGCTTTGTTGTCCCTTCTTGGAATCAGGTCTTTTAGGGGGTTATCCCCATTTCCTCTCTGTATGTCTTCCTTTCCTTCTTTAATTTTATCTTAATTTTGAGTTGAGAATGTGCTTTTTAAATATCTCAGTTTGTCCAGCAGGCTGCTCCTAGGGCCAGAAATTAGTTATTATTGTAACAAACAGTCCTTTAAGTACCCCTGTGTGCTCAGTTCAAAACCTGAGTATATTTCATCCTCATATTCATGATTCCTGCTGTCTGAATGTTGAATCTGCAATAAACCGTTTTTGTTGTACTCTTGTGCTTCATCAGAGCAAACTCATTATCCCTTTATGTTTTATTGTGCTGTCTCTGAGTGTTGATGAGCTGCAGCCTGCTTTTCTGTGTCGTTTGTTTTAATACTCATACCAGAATTCCTTTTCTTAACATGGCATTTCATTTTAGAATTTATAGTATAAATGTAAGTTTTCAAGCTTTGGACCAAATAGAAACAAAAAGACAAGTCTTTTTTGAAGCATACATAGAGAAAATTACATATAGTAAAACTCCTTGAGAAGAAATAGACTCCAGGTCTGTAGCTCTTTTTGGCAGGTCTTGAGAAACAGTGGCCCTTGAGTAGAAATTATTAGTCATCTCAGTTGCACTGTCTTCCAGGACTTATCATTGCATAGCAATGAGTTTATTTTTCTTAGAAATAAAAGTATCCTGGTATAAAGGAAGATTTCATAAGTGCTGTACTACACAGTGTTAGTGGATTGAATAAGTGATGCCAAATACTATTAATAAAGTATCTTAGTCTAGAGCAGTGGTGGTGAATATGTGGCACAAGTGCCACAGGCAGTTCTTCACTATCTCTGAAGGCTCTGAAAAGTTTGCCATCATTAGTCTAGAGCATTAATTCTGAGTCTTTAATTGGTATCTCAACATATTAAGCATTTTTTTTCTAAACGGTGACTATTAATTTAAAAATAAAGATACATCATGTAATACATTAAGAGAACCCTCAAGCAAATGAGTGTAGGATGTTGACACAACTAAAAAGTGGTGGTAATCTGAGAGGTGAGGAAGTGAGAATCTTACCTGTCTAGGTAGATCGATTCTGCATTGCATCTACTACAGTACTCTGATCAGAGGGCAGAAATCTGTGCAGATAGTTACCAATTCCTTATGAGCTGTAGATGTGCTCCCATTTCCTCAGGTGTCCAGAATCTAAGCCCATTGTGTAATATAAAAAAAAAATTATACGTTGTTGAATCTCTTGGTCCCTCAACGATGCTTTTCCAAGATTTTAAAAATGCTTAAACAACCTACATTTGTTTTTAATTATACTAAACTTTTTAAAGAAAGAAAATAATGATACCTATTAGTAAGGAAGCAGAACTATAAAACTAAGGGCAAATGCTTAAAATACAAAAATTATTTTAAATATCATTATCATATAAATTTAGGGTTACATACTTAACTCTCTTTATGTATGTCTTAGTTACTTTTCTCTCATTGCTGAGACAAAATACCTAATGCCCAAAATCAAAGAAGGAACGGTATATTTAGATCACTGTTTGTGGAGGTTTCAGTCCATAATTAGCTGACTCCAAGGCAGAGTGGTTTGACGCAGTGTCAAACTTCGGAGGACTGCAGAAGACAGCAAAAGCAACAAGAGCAAGAATAGTGGAGCAAGCCTCTTTTCCTCTATTATATTGTAAACAGGCTAACCTCCCCACCCAGGGCTGGTATATTCAATCTCCCTGCCCTTCTCTTGCACAGGATGAGAATGTTTACAAAGATGGGACCCTGGTTCCTTGCTGAAGTACTTAAACTTCTAAACTCAAGTTGATACAATGTATCAACCATAACAATCAACTTTACAAACAGATACATTTCTTTAAATTCATTGGCAAATACAAAGACATGCTTATTCTGTTTTCAACCTAAATGTTACAACACAGGTTTAACAATCCTAAAGAACCAGTGTTAAGTCTATCAACATTATATTATGTAAGAACCATAACATTTTGTCCTTGGCTTCTTAAAGACTCATGCATATCCCTTTATGCAAAAGGCATTTAGTCCATCTCTTAAGAGTTGCCAGTATTCTAATAGTTTCAGTGTTGCTGAAAAGTCCCAAGTCTTTTCTGAGATTTAAGGCAAATTCTAAACTGCTGGCCCCTGTACAAATGAAAGGAAAGTTAAACATACAATGGCACAAAGTAAACATTTTCATTATCAAAGTTTCAAATGGGGTTACAAAGGATTGGGACCAAGCAAGTCCAAAATCCGTCAGGGCAAACATTAAGTTCTATAGTTCCAAGTCCAGCATCTAAAGCAATCTTTGATAAGTTATGCGCTCCAGAGGACTTGGGTGATTCCACCCCTACGGCACATTTGGTTGGTTAAAGCTCCCACAGCTTCTCTCATAGGCCCATTTTGCTCCTCCTTGCGTCTGTCTTCAGATGATCCACATTCCTGGCTTCTCCAAATTTCTGGGGTCTCCGTTGCACCTTCAGCTTCACACTTCGTTTCACACCCTGCCCTCTCAGGCACACACTGCCTGACCTCCCAGGCCTTTGGAGAAGCCTTAACTCCAAAACTCCTGTATTCTGTGTACACCTAAAACTGGCGCCACATGCTTGATGTCAGGCTCTGCTGCAGCTGGAGCAGGAGCCAAGCTTCCCTTTCTCTTAGCTGTAGGGGTTGAGTGCCTGGATCACTGGGCACTTTGAATCCAATTCTGAGGAACGCGTTTTCCCTGCTGCACTGTTGTGGATCATAGTGCTGTCTTGTCTTTCTCCTCACAGCTAAGTTTTTCATTTTTGCAGTTTTGAGGTTGCAAAGGGTAGAAAGTTGTTTTTTGTGATGCTTTCAGGCCATCTTTTCTGTTCTCCTGTTCCTTCTCTGCAGTCCAGATTTCCTCAGCTCTTTTTAATCCACAGCTTTATTAGAGCTTCTTTCTGGCCAAACTCACAGTGTTTTGAGTCATCCTGTTGGGTTCTTTGCTCTTGATTTGCAACATAAATCTGGCTAAAGTCCTCCAAATATAGCTATGCCAAGCCTCAGTATTCAACTGCCTTGAAATTTCATTCTGCCAGATTAATGAATCCATTGCCTTAATCTTAGTCTCAGACAAAGTCTCTGGACATGAGCAAACTGCAGACAAACTTTCCTGCCAAGCTGGAGTCCAGCAGCTACTGCAGCCTTGCCCAGCAGAAACCTCACAAACCTGGTCTTTACCAGCAGGATTTCTATCACCCTGCTGGTCTTCTGAACTGTGACCAGAGTCTCCCACATAGAACAGTCTTTCAGGCATAGCTGTACCTTTCCAAATCTTCCCACAAGCCATTCCCAAAGGCTCTTGAACCACATGGTCAGGTACAGTCATAGCAGTGAGCCTACTTCTCTGCTACCAAGTCCTGTCTTAGTTACGTTTCTCTTGTTGCTGAGACAGAATACCTGACTCACAACACCAAGGAAGGAAAGGTTTATTTAGTTCTGTTTGTGGAGGTTTCAGTCCATAGTCAGCTGGCTCCAAAGCAGGTTTGCTTGGCACAAGGGGCAATAGTTCAAGGGCCCACAAAAAGCAAAAGCAACAAGAGCAAGAAGAAGGGAAGAGAAAGCCTCTTTTTCTTCCATATATTGTAAGCAAGCTACCTTCCAGGACAGGTGTAGTACTCATACCATCTGTGTGCCCTTCTTCTGCACAAGATGAGGATATTTAGGGACCCTAGCTCCCTGCTGAGTCCTTTAGTTAAACTTATAAACTTCTTAAGTTGACACAGTGTATCAACCATTACAGTATAAATTTTCTGTTAACCTCAGATTACCCAATGACAGTCTGCCATGTGGAGAATTGATGAAGGGAGGCATTGATGAGGTGTGGTCCCATGTTTATGCTCATGCTATACACAGATACTTACAAATACACAAGGAAGAAAAATTTTTTTTGTAGATTAGGAAAGAGTTAAAGAATAACATAATACAGAACGTACAAGCTGAAACAGTAGTTTAGTGGGAGGGTGAGTGCTTTCGTAGCATACAAAAGACCATGGTTTTGATTTCCAGGACTGATACATGTGTGCAGATTAGTTATATATGGAGGAGACAAATGTAATTGTCATGAATCATACAGGGATGGCTATGAAACTTGAACTAAAAAGCAGAAGTGAGACTCAGAGAATAGATGAGATCTGAAGAATGACTTGAATGGCAGAAATGTGATGAGGCAGATGTCATTTCAAGTGGAGGAAAAGAGAAAGAACAGCATAAACTATCTTTTCTAAAAGAGGTATATTTTTCGGCTAGTGCAGAGAATTGATATGGTGAAAAATAAGAAATTGGGCTGCAGAACTATTTGCTGAAAGACTGACCTTTTCAACTTTTATTTTAGGATGAGGAAACACAATGCTTAGAACTTAAGAATGGTAGGCTTACTGGATGCATATGATCAAAATACATACGCATGTATGAAAATGCCACAGTGAAACACAATGTTTTGCGAAATTAATAAGCGTTAATATATTTCCATAGATAGGGATAACAGAATGATAGGCTTGATGGAGTATCCCTCTCACTTTTTGATAAAAACATCAGTAATAGACTGAAGATACTAGAAATGAAGCAGTTCTGAGTAACTGCAGAGATGAAGTAACTAAACCAAACTTCATTGTTGGTAGGTCAAATACATGCATTAGAGCAACTTTCTCACTCAGTATTAAAAACTGACTTTGCAGCCCAGAATTCTGTTTTGGGAAACATTATTGTAGCCTTTTTAGAATGATCACTGCCTTAAAAAAATGTTAAGTAAGCAGCAGAAATATATTCAGTAT